AGTTCGTCTCCTTTGATTCGACGGGAGACCGCCAAAAAAGCGAGCGCACCCGAACACGAATGTTGGCGATGCGAACTACCCCGAATGTACACGAGCACACCGTGTACACTATCGCGTTCGTCTTAAGTTCGCCTACATTCGGCGATAGTGTACTGCAGGCATTTTATAGTTACAATGGTGTTATTATATGAATATTCCACTTACTAATAATAATGTAAATATATAGCAAAAAAAAAAGACATGCAACTATATACAATAGACTAATTTAAACTAAAGAGCAACCAAAGCTGTTATACACCACACACGAGAACTGTTAAAGTAGCATTGTTTACACATTACAGTTGTGTTTCTGTTTTAATTTAATAAACAATTTTTGTTGTTCGTGGTGGATTTATTTTTAAGTGTATCGTCTTATTGACTGTCTGTTTTACAAAATGTTTATAAAAAGGTATTGGGTATGTATATGTTTGTTTTCCTTAAAAATAATATCTGAAAACCTAGTTGCACGTTAATACTTTGGGTAGGCCCTACATTACTGATCAAGTAATTCAAGTCAATGACTTGGATAGAAGGAACTAACACAGTGTAAACATTAGATTTGAAAGTCTGGAGTACCGGTATGTCAATATCGTGAAAACTACTTGACCGATTGGAGCTGTTTTTTGTTTCAAGGTACAGTTACACCAGAGCGAACAGGAGCGAACGAGCAGTAACGAATGCGAAATTCACTTCGGTGTGACCGGTGCCTCGAGCGACAGCGAACACCAATCGGACGTGTTCGGCAGTGGTCGGTAGTCGCATATTCGCGTTCGCACCTGGTCCATCCATTGTCGGTTTTAGCGCGAATGATCAAAGGAAATTCGCGTTCACTTGAGTTCGGTGCTCGATTCAGTGTGACCACATCGGAGTGACTCCAGTTGGTCCTTGCCGGTGAAAAAAGAAGAAAATTAAAACTGTCATAGTTTACACTTGTTTATAGACATATGTTGATAAAATTTGGTAAATTTATTTATTTCATCCATTTGAAAGTTAAAGTTTGGTCCAAAAACACTTTTTACCTTCCCAATAGCAGCAAACCTAAGCACTCTTTTAATCTAAGGTTATTTAAATTGGGAATAAATATGTCTTATTTATGGACATCCTACTAATATTATAAATGAGAAAGTTTGGATGTATGGATGTATGTTTGTGACAAGTGAACGCGAAAAATACTGGGCGGATTGTGCTGAAATTTGGCATGATGATAGCTCACATTCCCGATTAACATATAGGCATATTCTTATTTCAAAAATCCTTTCGGGCTCCGCCCCAGTGGCTCTGGAGTTTCCCATGTTAACCTTATGAGAAATGGAATTATTGAATCTTAACAGCTGTTTCAATTAAACAAGTTGGTTCTGTTCTATGATGTTAAATAGCATTAAAGTTACAAGGATTACCAGCATGGTGCAGCACTATTATTTCTTTTACATTTATGACAACAGCTAATTTGCAATCAAAAGGTGAGTGAGCGTAGCGAACGAGCTCCAACCTAAAGGTGAGTGAGCGTAGCGAACAAACTTCAACCAGGACGTGATTGAGCCATGCGAACGAGATAATCTTGAAAATTAAGAAGTTAAACATGGCAAAGCCCGTGGGTTACAGCTAGTATTTAAATAAAAATGTAATCAGATATGTTGAAATTCGCTTAGGCTGCAGGTTTTCCGCGGCGAGGGTATTTTTTTGTTGTACTACAATTAATTATTCCTATTTTGTTTAACTAGGGAGTGGACCGATGACAAAGTGTTGGAGCTGATTAAAGAATACAAAGCAAGGCCAGTGATATGGGATCCTAGCAGTGCTGATTATAAAATGTTGAATACAAAATTAACAGTTTTTTAATTATTTTTTTACTAAACATATAGTCTGTTTAAGAACTGCACGGTGACGATAACAGGGATTATCGTCACCGTGCAGTTCTTGTGGTGGCGGAGCACAAGCGAATGACGTTTCAATCAAGACGATTCGTGTGTGTTCACTCTGGTGTGACTATTCACATTCTCAGGTGTTCGCGAATGCTAGCGAACCACAGCGAACACCAGTGAACGTTCGGTTTGCTCCTGTTCGCTCTGGTGTAACCGTACCTTAAAGAGCCAATACTGGTTTGATGGGCATACTATTTTTTTTATTTTTAAACACTCCTAGGGCCCCGCCCTGACTGCTTGCGAAGTTTATATTGTGTTATTCTAAAAAAAAACAACTCCTAAACTACAATAAATGATCCCTTATGGTTATTCCTAATATTAAATTGGGAAATACAAAGAAGCTAAAACATAATAAATGGTTTACAAGATCAAAAACTACCGGGTTTCATTATGTAGTTGTAGTATCTTAATCTGAAGTTCAAACAATTATATTTACGATCGAAGATAATCCGTTATCTATTTAACTGCCGACAATACCACAAGTTATAATTTAAGTTGAAACGAAAAATTACGTATTCGATTCCGTATCATGTTTTGCTTTGAAGTCCTTGTTAACAAAACGTGCAGTACACAGCACAATAATATTCTATACTACAAGGATCATTCAATTTTACTTTAGTAACTTTCATTAGTGTGTTTTATCTATGTTTTCATCAAAATTTCATCGGACATTGAAAAAAGTGTGGCTTACACAAATAATGGGAGAATTTACAATTGTGTTTATTGCTAAACAAAATAAATCGCATAACACTTGAAATTACTCGTAAGAACTATCCAACCAAATCACAAGGTAAATTAATTAAGTTAAAAAATGCGGACCAAAACAATCAAAATTTATCATGACAGCTACACTCACCATGTTGATGCGGTCTAGGTCTTGGGGCTTTTTGAACTGGTCAAACAAAAGACGGCTCATCATCCATTTTAGACTGAAATACCCTATTATAGAAACAATTACCTTCTTTAGCACTAAATACGAAATATCCTTGACGACCCAAACAAAAGAACCTTTATAGATCGTGGAATCTCCCATTGCCGTGCCGTGTAAATCTACGAGATTATTTTAAGTTTTTAATTGGATAACTTGATTTTCTGTACAAAACGTTTATTCAATTTAACAAATTACCATACAAAGACTACATTTAGTTGATTTTTCAAACGGAAATACAAGTATATATTTTAAAATACAGAGTGATGATTTGTTTTGAAGATATGAATTAAAGAGAGGGGAGTCGTATTATCTGCAGAAGTTGTACCAACACAACAGTTTGAAATACAATTTGTCATACTATGTTGTAAGAAAATAGTTTTGTGTTTCTAACAAAAATTATGTGTAAAAGTACTTGGGGTGGATCTTGATCAGTACAATGGGGGTAGGTATGTCTTGCCCATTGGCTAAAGATATAACGATATATTTTTTTACTGAATAGTCTTGACTGCAATATTTTGGCAACAACTTACTCAAATACACGTAAGTTCGAAAAACATTATAATATCAATATGGATGTATAGACCTAATTTGATAATACTACCATATATTAAACATACTCCAATAATACCAAGTTCCATAAAGATTGGTTGGAAAGTTCAAAGATTAAAATTATAGTTTGATAAAAATGGTACATATCATACGCCATTTTTTTACACAAACATTTTATCTGGTGAATGGAACGAATTTCATTGTTGATTTCCCCTAAATGTTCACCCATGGAAACATTTCCCGGAGTTCAGCTGTTTACTAACGGGGCACCCTGTATATACGAACAATGATGCCCTTTATATAGTGTAGGTCTGCCCTACTACTATTGAACTTAATTTTATTCTATCTGTTCATACCGTAAAATTTTTAGTTCAATGGGATATAAAATATGCTGTAGTATAACACTTTCATATTTGGATGATAATTCACACTTCGTCAAATGATCAATTGATATAAGTATTTTTTATTCTTAAAGGCAAAAAATGTCCACAAGAGCGGAACACATCTACTTTACGGTAAGTAAATCTACAGTCAAAGATCCTACTAGAAGTTACATTATGGTAGTTTACCTATATCTTGGAGGTTATTTTCGGTAAAGGTTTTATCGTTCATATCTGAATCATGTGTTCTATGACTTTATAAGTATAAGAAGTAAGTAGTTCAATGTCCCGAGAAGTAATCACTTTAGTTTGCATGTTACAGAGACCACGCCCGCCATAGCCTTCACCGTGAAACATTACGTTAACATGACGGCGACGTTTGCGTGTGTGTTTCAAAGCAAAATCTATTGCAGTAAAACATTTTTTTACAATTACAATTTTAATGTGGTCGTGGCGAATTGCTTAGCTTGTACAGATTACATACAGGTATTACGTGCACATTTATTATTTCCCTACACGTACAATGAAATCAATCTGTTACAATGTAGGAGGCCTACACACAGTTCAAAATGCATGCGTAGGCCCTATTTGTTCACATTTCCACTACAAGTTATTATTAATGAAACAAAATCAAAAATTAAAATAAAATAATTTAAATTATAACAAATTAGATATAAAAAATAAAAAAATAAAAATTAGAAAAAAAAATTAAAAAAAAATTAAAAACTATAAATAATTAATTTAAGTTTTTTTGTAGGATTTTTGGATTGTTTCTGTTGTTGGTATGTTATCAAATACCAGATACGTCCCTGACTAAAATTATATACATTTGTCAAATTACTAAACCTGGATTTACAATGAGTAGGGGTCTGTTTCAAAATAAACTACAAACTAATATTATTAGTAAATCAGCTGATGGTCCAATGTAAATATAATGGAAATTACAAATTACAAGTTAAAACTTGTAACTTGTAGTTTATTATGAAACAGACCCCTGGCCGAGTGTGTGTCCTTATTAGCTGCTTTGACTAAGATCAGCTGATTCTTTTAGTAAGACTATGTCTAAATACTGGATTGGGTTTCGAATGAGATGGAAAACTTATCGTAAGTTAGGGCCTAACTCAATTAAAACACAAAAATCATAACAATAATTCAGTTTTATTCTAGCTTACGATTTTAACAAAGACTAGTTATATACTCTTGCCACTGTTAGTACAAAAATACGCTATACAACAAATCTTACGATGGACAATTTCCAAAGAAATACACCTAAAAAGAATCAAAAATTCGAACGGTAAAACCAAACTTAGATCACGAGAACGAAGCTCGAGTAAAAGAAAAATATAAATAACAAAACACTGTGGTAGTCACTATACATCACCACGAAGACAATTAATATACGATTTTTAACTATATTTCAAGCGTCATTTCTTCTAATAAGAAAAAAACTTAAGACGATTGCAATTTATAAGGTTACCTAACAATAAATATCAACTAGTATTCATATCACAGAAAAAGAACAAAACTAAATGATCAGGTACTGCAAAAAACTCGAGAAAATAATTCCTAAAAAGTCTACGAAAACGCTAAAAATCAGATCTTGATCAATGTCAAAATCTCCGGGGCGTTTTCTTTTGTTTTCTAGCCTTGTTGATTGTGTTTTCACCAAAGTGGCAGCCATTTTGGGACAGAGCTTGGTATGTGAGGCCAAAATGTTTTTCCACCTGATCGAAAAATATCTGTTCCAAAGCATCGACCGCGTCGCTGCACATTTTATCTCCCTGAAATTATATTTATTTCAAACAACAGTCTATATAGTTTTCCACACGAATACTAGAAAAATACCTGTATGGATCATAAACATAAACAAATGAAGTTTTTGGCCCGAAAGTAAACAATACCCCTAAACTAATAGTATTATAGGTAATTAACATATGGTTTTGTTTACTTTCGGGCCAAACACGTCATTTGTTTATGTTTATGATCCATATACCGGGTCTTTTCTAGTATTCGTCGTTTTCCATACTAAAAATGATTTACTGTACTATGAAGTTTAAGAATTTAAAGTACTAAAGATTAAGCCACTAAGTTCTTTTTAAAATAAGTGCATTCGACAATTAACTATTAGAAAATTACGTTTAAATAAAGTGTATATTTTGTATAGTATTTTGCTAACATTAAAATCCAAATGGAATGTCGTACTTTTATTAACACAAGCAATCACAAATATCTAAACATACTTTTTTAAACTGCAAGGCAGTAAAAGTCTTGACAAATTAGCTATTTAATATAGAATTGATGGTCAATGGTTGCTGAGAGCTACTTGCCTGAATGCACAGTGTTAAATTTTATCAAGTAGGCCTAATTCTGACGCAAAAATCATTCAATCATAGTCTGTATTATCTAAATATAATGAACAGGATTTTTAGTGCTCTTACTAATTTTGAAAGTTTGAAAACAATACTTATTAAAATAAATACCTTTAAAGGGAGAATAGTGTCCTTACTGGTAGTTTCAAAGAATAGAAAAAAAATCATTTTAGACCAAAAAGTTCAATTTTGTTTACTATATTAGTATTGACTATTGCCATTGCATACTCAAGTAGACATACCATCTATATGCACCAGCTGTCGCCAATATGTTATTGAAAAAGAACTTAGTTATCTGAGTCAGTCACAGAATACGCTAGAGTCTACAATTCTTTAGTCTACCTTATTTTTTGTAAAGTTGATGGGAATAGTTCACAGTAAGTAGTATACCAATAGTTTGACTCGTCAAAAGAGTGCGTGTATTCAACATAAATTATTAGGCCTAATTTAGATAGGCCCAATCTGTAAGAGGCTCACGCCAACTATTTATCTATTTGCCAACAGATTTGCACCAATTTTACTGTAGGCTAATAATAATAGCCAAAAATAAATACTGAGTGAAAAAGTTTAAGTTACAAGCATTGCAATAAGAATACAGTACATGCAAATACTTGAAATATGAATGAACTGAGAGTAACGAGAAATAAACAATAAGACATAATTGAATAAATAATACATTAAGTATATGAAATATAAACAACTACGACGATTTTGATTTTAAAAACTTGGGCCTACTTTAAGACGGGGATGGAATATTTAGTTGTACCAATATTCAATGATACACGTTCATACCTTGTTTCTACTTCTAATGTCAATGAAGTATTGGTGAAAATCCGAGAGCGCCTGGTCCAAAGTGTCATAGCTTCTGTTGCTTAACTTGCATCTCATCGCTTGAAAATACAGGGGACTTCTCACCCTCAGCTCCAGCCTTGCCCCCTCCTGAAAGTGTCTTTACTGTTGAATCAGGCAACACAAAATCAAATGGGACGTTAAGCGATCAAGATTGTTAAGATTTGGAAAACATTCCGACAATACGTAGCCCAATCCAACCAAATAGCTAATCAAATCATTAAGATTGCGTATTTCAAGAGAACGTTAGTAATTTTTTTTTTTAATAAGGGGAATCATTTAGTTGAACAAACTAAACGATGAACTTTTTTCAGAGATGAAGTTTCAAGTTTAGCCATGAATAAAAAATTTAGGATACTAAACTTAGAAGATTTAGGATTAAGAAAATACCCCCGCCGCAGCAAACCTGCCGTCTAAGCGAATTTCCATTTGGCCGAATTGATTTTCAATTGATCTATTTAAATAACATTAGGTTTAACGAGTACCTAGGTTTGCTGCTACAAGGAAACTAATCAAGTAGTGTGTTTTTAGTAAAATATTGATAGCTTACTATAAAATAAATAAATTTGCCAAGTTTGATCAAAATATATCCATAAACAAGCAAACTACAACATTTTACAATATTCTCCATAAGAATAACATGAGAATTTTAAATTTACAATTTTTTTTAGTTTTCTCCGTAACCAATAACCGTACAAAAACACTTTGATATACTGAATTGTTTGTTTTTTTAAGCTCTTTAAGAAGGTTTAGAGAAAAATTGGGAAATTTTGTGTTTTGAGGGTAAAAAGTGAGAAAAACCAATTTTTACCCCATAAAACCCCCCATAAAACCCTGTTCCCATGGTCCGATCATGCTGGATCGCGAACTCATTCAAGTTTATCCCGCCTTACACCTTCAAACCAAATTTCATCAAAATCGGATAAAAATTACTCAAGTTATCGTGTTCACGGACACATATATATATATATAAATCTATATATATATATATATACCTATATATATATATATATATATATACATATATAAAAATTTGAACGAATGGTGTTTTTGGCCTCTGGGGACATTAAAATGAAAAAGTAAATCGGTCCCGGGCCTAAGTCTTACCATGAGACCTACGGTAATAGCTACTTCCCTATAGGGAAATTCGCTAAAACGTCAATAACACTAAAGAGTTATCAAATTTGACTAGCAATATTTAGTGATTATATCTGATGTAACTGATAATTACCTTAGAACTACTTTAATAATTCTTTGTACTCAGAAAAAAAAATGTAAACTGTGTTTGTCATTTTTTGAATCTATTGGTCCTCGCTGACAAGTTTTGTAAACTTGGCGAGGCCATGCTTGTAATATCTTAAATAAATATATTTGAATTTGAATTTTGAAAATTACCTTTTCATTTCTGATTCCATCTTCGATCAAAGTAGCAGCTGGCGTATTCCAAATGCAGTTCAGAATTTCTTCAAGTTGGCACGTGACTTTGTCGCTCATAGAAGTTGCAAACACCATAGTCTCTGGTCTACCGTGACTTGAATGACTTCTTCGATCCGCCAAGTTATAAGACTCTCGTCCATTTTTGATCTTCTTTGGTTTCTTTTGATAGTGTTCAGTGTTAGTTTTTAATAGTTGGCTGGGTTTCTCAGGGTTATTTTGTACCATACCGTCTTTGTTTTGTTCAGTAACATCTCGTGTAGAATGGGTCAACGCAAATTGAGGTTGAAGACTTTGTTTATCTTGTCCGTTACAACCGTCACTTGGGTTAGTCCGTTCAACTTGGTCTTGTACTTTATCTTCCACAGCAGAACTCTTCAACGACTGTTCACCCTCTAGAGAAATTTTCTTTAACGAATCAACTAGCCAATCTGTCGATGTATTTTTCAGCTCGACAATTATTGATGGATCGGTTTCAGAACTACCACTGCTCGAAGGACTTGAGATATCGAAATCGTTATTTACTTTCATGTCGTCTCCAATTAAACCGTTCCAGTTGTTGTCGTCAAGCAGAAAGTGTGACGTTGTAGACACTTCAGAAGACTTCAAGTTTGAAACGTCACCCACGTTATTACCTAAATACGATTCTTTTAAACACCCTACCATAGAATTGTCTGATACAAGGGTGTTATCAGTATCTTCGATACATTTTGATACTTTTAATTTCGAATATCCAGTTTGTAACTCGATACTCGGCTGTTGAGAGTCGGACTGTTGAGTAGTGTAAAGGAAAGGGATTCCGACAATTGGAATATCTGAGATAGGAACAGAATTACTCACCGTTTTCTGAATACAAGGTGGTTTCTGTGGTGGAGCATATTGGCCAGGTTTCATATAACTGTTTTTAGCTAGGTTTCCATCAAAATCAAGGTCAGTACAGAGTATCGGGTTTGGCTTTGGCTTCTCCAAACAGCTGCTGACAGCATTTTGGTAAGGATTGGAGTTGACGTGGGAAAACTGGTTATTGATTAGAGGAGAGGTTACAGGCATCGTCTGCTGGATATTCACTGGAAAACAGTTGCTCATGGAGAGGGCAAATGGGTTCCCAAAGGAAGCACACATTTCGTTTGCAGGAGGCACAGAGCTTGTTTCACATCCAATGTTGAAAAGATTTCCATTGGGTGTACTAAGATTGCCTTCAAAGAAGCCTGAATTGTAACAGTTTTGACGTTGTGGTGCAGATGGAAACAAGCTTACTCCATGTTGAGTCAATTGACAGTTGTTTGATGATCCCATACTTACTTTAGACAGATCGAAATTAACATTAACATCACCTTCACCCCGTCCCAAGATTGGGTAGTTTTTATGATCATTCGTCGATGAAAATTTCTGTTTTAGTCCACCTGGAGTAAAATTGAGTTTGGAAGATTTTTTATTCTCCATTGCCATTCTTTCTGAATCCATTCTTTCCGAGAGGAATCGGCGTTGTTTCCAACGTCTTTCTTGAACGTTTGCGTCTGCAACTGTTGTATTGGGAATCGGAGATTGAAATTGGCCAGCTTTGGACAAAGGATCTTTTCTTTGTTGCAAATGAGAGCCTACAGCAGCTATTGCAGGTCTTGAGGGGATCATTGATTCGTAGCATCCATTTGAATTTGGAACATTTCTGGCTGACAACTCCTTCAGCACACGTATCAGCCGGTCAACGAACAGTCTAGAGGTGCTTTGCCATTGTGCGAATTCCTCTAGTATAGAGTGATCAATATTACGGGTTTCCAATAAATGTTTGAACTCTTGTCGTTCGAAATGAGCACTAAGCTTGATCCATGAATTACAAATATCTATGACGGATAAGGCAGTGTCCGAAACAATACTTTCGTTTTCCTTTTGTAGCCTCACCGCTGCAAAAATCGCTTTCGTCGTTTTGTCCACTTCCATCTCAACATGAGGTAATGCAGACTTGGACTCTTTGAGAATATTCTCAATGTCATAGCATCCCCTTAAAGCTGTTTCTCGAAACATTATAGTTTCATGGTTTTTATGGGATTTCAAACTAACACCATCATCACTGTTGAACGTACGCGAGGAATTGAAGGACCCGAAGATGTTAATACATCTCTCGGAGTGTTTTTCGTTTAACTTCAAATTCAAAGAGGAACAGTTGAACATGGATTTGCTCTCTCGTAATGAAACAACACTTGATGTTGTAGGCAGATGCGACAGATTGGATTGACTGATTTTCGTTTTGCCATGATCTTGCAGTGTACCATTTCGGAATGTATCATTGTAATGACTATCTTTTGAAGAATCGCTCTTAAAACTTGGCGCGGAGTATTTGGAAGAAGAAAGAGAAGAGTCTTCGTCAGCCGAATCAGTAGTACTACCTGGTTCACTTGACTGCTTTCCCCTTTGTGAATTCGGAGGGCTACATATGAAGGAGACTATATTTTCACCCCCAACATCGAACTCAAAATGATGGTCTACGTCTCTTTTCTTTTCCAGTCTTTCTACTGTTTCTTTACTGGCCAAGGCTTTCAAGTTTTGCTTACACTGAAATCTATTGCAGTGAGTAGGCCTTTTTAGGACTTTTATCGTGGATGGAGTGACACATGACTGCTTTTCCCAAGGACTTTCAGGACAGATCATATTGGGTTCTTTGAGGATCGCACTGTTCCTAAGAAGTTTCACGTCACCATTACAATGGCCAACGTTACATTGAGAAACATTTTCATCCAAATTCAACGAGGGAGCTAAAGCGTGGAATTTACTGTTGGGCAAAGAAGATGCGTTTGTCTCCAAACTAAGATAGTTACTTTTTGAACTACTTATTTTAAGATCGAAACACCTAGACGGTTTTTTGGTCAAAAAACTTAAATTCTCTTCGAGAAACTTCAGATGGTACTCCGGATTTAGCATAAAAATGGTTTGTCTTCCGTCTTCTTTCAAACGGTGCAAAATTCGAAAATTGGCATTGCAATGGTTTTTTATGTACGATGAAAATTTAGGCAGTTTTTGGACTAAGGAAGACTCTGAAACATGAAATAATCACAAATTGACTGAAATGGCAAAATTATAACCAAATGAAAACAATTCAATAAATTGTATAACACCTAGTAAAATAATAATGTTATAACAACTGGTTATACCTTCAAATTTTACTCCTATTTAAAACAAAAAAAGTTGGAACTCAATTAATTTTTTTGTGTCTATGTTAAAGGAAAAATATCAGAGAAAACTAAACTTAACGTTTTCAAACCAACAAATGGCTAATTGGAAACCTCAATTTCATTACCTATAACATTTTAACATCTTGACATCGAAGTACAGCCATTCGTGTAGTAGCAAAAACAGCATTAATTCCATAGGATTTTAGTATGCTTCACTTAGTTATCAGAAATCGTTGGCTTAACAAACTTAAACAAAAACTAACTTAATGTTTGTAAAAACAAGAAACATTCCAAACTAAAAGTAATTAACTTTATCCCTATTTAGTGCATTAAAGCGCTTGTATAAACCATGTGAAATAAATTCCTTACCGATAGAAGAAAAATCGTTTCTCCACAAATTACGTAATTTGTTCTCGTCTTGCATAGAAACCAACTTTGTATCCTGAAAATTAAAACTAGATTACAGAGACAGCAGAGATACAAGACCATCTATGCTGATACACACTTTAATACTTTTATTACTTTTTAATGAAATGGTGACCATACAAAGTAGGTATTTTAAGCCAAGTAATGGAGATGAGTGTAGGATAGATACTTCAAATCGAACTTGGACATACATATATATTTCTTTTCGCACTGGTGTTGCAGCCCTACAATACTCCCCTCACCACTACAAATGGGCAACAGATCAACTATTGCCAATGTTCCATAAGGATGATAAATTCATTAAGGGAGAATGATTTTTCTATGATATGAACTAGTCTTTTTGAGCCTTTTGAGAAAGATCTGTGCAGTTATTTTCAACCGTAGCACCAGAAACAACGCTCTCGTTCATTTTAAATAATACAGTGAAATTACAACTTTTTAATCACTAGCAGAAATCGCTCGGCCTTCACACTGGCAATCCTTTCGATGATAGCATATATGATAAGATGTATTAAGGTTACACTAGTGTACATGTTGCTCGAATTCGATCAGTTGCAAAGTATTAAAGGAGTTATTCCAAAACGAATAACAGTCATATTTACAATGAGTTTAAAAGAGTCAACTCAAAGATTACCGGCGTGTAACTCAGACCACGATTATCTTCGTTATTGATAAACCTAAAGCATTCCGGCCGGTTTTCTCCTTCTCAAAATGCCTCGCTGTACAGGCAACACAGGTCATTGATAGAGGGCCAATTGAGAACGAAAAGTCGTTTGGGGTAGTGTTAGGGCGCATTTGTAACCTAATAGTTGAGATTGTCCAGGGTCAGGTGCTGACTGTGATGAGTTAAGCCTATTACGCGCCACTGTTCTGTAGCTGTGACCGCGTAATCACGATTACGCCTCCAGTCTATGTTTCGTTGTCGTCACGTCGGAGGTATTTAAAAGAAAAAACAACAAATAAACAAATTATAGCTACACAAAACAAAGATAAATGCACAAATTTAAGTTACAATCATGCTAACACGACCCGTCATAGCGACACAAATCAATGATAAATACACAAATTTAAGATACAATCATACTAACACGATCCGCCTTGGGGGAGTATGTTTACATAAACTCAAACAGTAAATAAATGTACTCAATGCGTTTCATTGAATTGAAAAATAAGTAACAGTAATTAAATTATACAGTTGATCAAAATGTAAACAATTATGTTCTTCATAAGGATAACATGGGAACTTTCAAACCCACTGGGGCAGAGCCCAAGGGACTTTAAAAAAAATGTAATCTACGCGACACTCTCTTTCCAATGAGACGTCAATGGACAAAATCGGTTAAGAAATGGCGGAGGAGTTCAACCGACAAAGTTTCATGTAGCGTATTAGTTATATAGATTGGTTTTAAAGTAATAAAGAAGCTTGATTTATGTAATGTGAAGTTCAAACCTAATATCTTAATTTCTCAGCATTTGATAAAGAGATTAAAATCTATATCGAGTTTGCATACGTAATCGACAAGAAGACCATGCAACAAAATGTAATAAAGTACACGAAAGACATAGTTTGAGATAAATATTTAAGTGATTTTGAAATTCTGAAAATACATTTTTATTTTATTCATAATTTGCCTCCAGGATTGATTAGACAGGAGGTTACCAACCTGCTGTTGTCAGAAAATCCAATATTTGTCGTGGATGACTAGTTTCAGGGTTAAAATCTCATTTTAAAATCATTTTCTCGTCAAACGTTATGTTCTTGCACTTTCCTTCCTGCAAGTAATTACTACTAGGCCTACCCGAAACTGGAAACTAGTCATCCACGGCAAATATGGGATTCATTGACAACAGGCTAGTAACCTTATTTTTTTCATACATTTTTTATTACTATTAAGTATCATTATAAAACAAGTTTTAGGCTGCAATCATTTGTTTGTATTTTATAGTGAGTAGGCCTAGTATTAGAATAATAATTCAATATAATATTTTAATGAGGACAAAACACTACTAGATTTGGCTGACGATTGTTCTACATTTGTCAAAATTCCTCAATTTCATATAATCTCATCTTTACTCATTTGAAAAGGAAAAACTAGACGAATTTTCATTTTAAACAAAAATCTGGATTTCGTTATACATAGTTATACCAAACAAAAAAATCTACTATGCATTCACAAAAGAACTACACAAAACTGACTGAAATATAATACAAATCTTCCTTCTGATTCATTATTTTTTCTTATGTGGAAAGCTAAAAGGGACCTCTTGTCGGCGATGCAAGATTTTCAGTACGGCCGATATAAGTAATTAAGGTCGAAAATATTGAAATTCGCGTTTTTATCGATTGTTATAGGCCTACCTCATTATCATAGAACAGGACAGTATCGGTTAAAATATCGAGTTGAAGATGTAAAAAGTCGAAATATATAATTTTGTTAGCCTCTGCACGGTCTGAGAAAAGGTACCTCTTGTCGCTCAATGTTATGCCGCCATAACGACAAGAGGTCCAATTTCTAATATTCCCTTTATAAACAGACTTTTGTCCAAAAAAAATCTCCTGCATTCTAGTGAAATTTAGAGAACTAAAACAAAGTTCAGTTTACGGAGAGCAAAATATCTCACAAATTTTGGGGTCCCGACAAGAGGTACTTATCTTATGGAGAAATAACATAGGGCCGACAAGAGGCCCCTTTTCTGAAATGCGATTTTTACAACATGCTTTAATAAAACAATTGTTTAAATGAAGACTACCGGGAATCAAGACAAAAATTTGTTTTGCCCCCAAAGAGGACATTATAAGCTTTCTTTTGATACCAAAATTGTTTCTTAAATACGAAAAACTATTTTTATGCGTATTTGAAGTTTTCAAAATAGTTTTTCTCAAAATGACCCTTTTCCATAACTAAATTTCAAAGTCCTATAACTTCAACAAAA